GTAATTGCCCCTCTGTGTAGGTTTCAGGCTCTCTCAGATTCTTGTCCGGTTAATTCAGTTACGGAGCGGCTGCACTACATGAGATGTTTGTTCATCCCCGTACCCTAAAACTGTGAGTGCTGATTATTATCATCATTAATAATGATAGCAGTCTAGAGCTAATGATTCTAGAGCACTGCGTACAGGACGTGCTCTACACGCTTTTCCTGATAATGCATTTTGTCCTCTCAATAGGGGGGACGGTTACTAGCAACCCCTCCAGAGAGCAGAGGCGTGCATGAGACTCCAACAGATTAATTGGCTCAAGGTTGCACATCCAGAGGTTAACCCAAGCAGTGAGATTCCAGCCCTTAACCATGGCGCAGTCCCACCCTCTAAAGCAGAATCTCAGGGCGCCTGGGTGGCCCAGTCAGTTAAGTATCAAGTCTTGATTTCGGCTCAGGTCAAGATCTGGCGGTTTGTGAGATCGAGCCCATGTCGGGCTCTGCACGACAACGCCAGGCTTCCTTGGGATTCTCTCTCTCTCCCTCTCTCTGTGTCCCTCCCCCTGTGTCCCTCCCCTCCTCATGCACTCTCTCTCAAAATAAATAAACATACAAAATAAAATCTCTTTATTGACACTTTCGTACCACATTACAGTGCTGCCCAACCATAGTATAATAACAGGAATTGTTTTTTTTTTCCTGCAAAATTTAGATGTTCAGTAATTTAACAGCCAGGCATGAAAAATATTTACTGTGTCAGAAGTCGGGGGCTATTATTAGGTTGTGAACATTTTAGCTCCTTGTTTTTCCCTGAAGTTGCCCCAAAAAGCACGCCTTAATTCAGGCCGTTTGAAAATCTAGGTCGTCCAGTTCCAATTAAATAACAATCGTGACACACCTACTATGTGCCAAATTCTGCATCAACTACTGGGAGACACAGAAAGATGAAGAATTCCAGCTGCCCAACAGCTCTGGCCCAGCGGGCCTAGAGGCACATTCAGACAACACGATGCGTTGAAGGTTGTGTGTCCACAGTGCTGTGGGAAGGCTACCGGGAGGAGGTGTAGTTTTAAAGAAGTCTCCCAGGAGGTGGGAACGCTCGAGCCATCTGGAAATCCCTCCCCCTGTGTTCTGGGCTCTTACCTACCTTGCACGGAGGCCGTTATTAAAGGCAACCACCATGTCGGGTGGAAACGTCAGAGTCTCCTGGGTTGTCGAGAGCCTGCTGATCCCCTTCCTGTGGTTTCCAGGTACCAGCAAGGTCAACCTCGTGAAGATCCCGTCCACGGCCTCCAGCCCGCGGGACACAGCCCTGGCGGCCGTGATCTGCAGCGCCCTGGCCACCGTCCTGCTGGCCCTGCTCGTCCTCTGTGTCATCTATTGTAAGAGGCAGTTCATGGAGAAGAAACCCAGCTGTGAGTGTTGAGCTCTGTCTGTTCCTTAGCATCTGGGTGAAGTGTGTTTATCGTCGTGGTCACTCGAGCCTCCCTGAGGGCCTTGACCAAGACAAGGGTCGAGAGCTGTGAAAGGGACAGAGCACACGTGGAAACGGGCTCACAGCCACCCGGTCCCCCAGGGGCACCGCTGTAGAAGGACATTGGAAAGGCGGCTGTGTCCCGTGCCTCCAGGCAAAAATGGAAGTCGGTCTTCGTTCTGGCAACAGAAGTACTCTATGGCGTGAGCTTTGACAAATTGCTTCATATTTGTGTCTCCGTGTGAGGAGAAGTATTTTTAGATGGGAACGCTAGCCACCTTTTTCTTCAGAAAGACAAGGGCCAGAATGGTGCATGTCTGCATATGGTGTTCATGGGCTCCTTTACGGAGGAAATGGTCCCCACTGACCGAATTCTCGCCCCCTGTAGGGTCTCTGAGAGCACAGGACATTCAGTACAACGGTTCTGAACTGTCATGTTTTGACAGACCTCAGCTCAACGGATCTGCTCCCAGACCGTGTTGTAAGTGTCACCGGGACTCGGCCCAGACCTGCGGTAAGTGCAGTGGGGTAAGGGGCCGTCAGGGGAACCCCAGGGACGCCGACCCTGCAAGGAATTGTCCCCGTTTGTCCCACAGCTGAGGAGCTCTGCTTCGTTTTCTAATTACAGCTAGTCTTAAGTTATTCTCTGTCTCCCGATGGTTTTGGTGTTTTGAGCCTTCTACATATTAAAAAGAAGAGAAGCAGCTTATTAAAATTCTAGAATTATTCAGCAACTTTGAAAAGCAAATTTGCCTTTATTGTTTTGGGTCAATAGAGTTAAAATAATGTCAACCTTCTATTAATCCTTTTTTCAAAACGTTTATTTATTTTTGAGAGAGCGCAAGCCAGGGAGGGGCCGAGAGAGATAGGGGGCGAGGGGATCCTTGGCAGGCTCTGCGCCGACAGGCTGTCAGCACAGAGCCCGAGGTGGGGCTGGAACTCACGAACCGCGAGATCGTGACCTAAGCCGAAGCCAGACATTTAACTGACCGAGCCACCCAGGAGCCACTGATAGGGTCCTTTTGTAGAGTAGGAGTGTGTATCCTGTCTTGTCTGGTGGATTCAAGCCGAGCTTGGAGGTATCCATGAATGTCTTCCAGGATTTCTTAAAGAACAGCAGGGAGGGAGACAGACGGCAGGGTTTCCCGCAGACCTCGATGGCCTTGGAGCCACTCCTTAAGCTGAGCGTTTCCCACTTAGACCGGGTTAGGGTTAGGGTTTGGGTTACCTGATTTTAATCTGGCACAGGTCCTTAATCTTTCTTTGTGTCATGACATCATTCTTTTTGATGGGCACAGGCCAGTATTTGTCTGCTGTTTCCAGACGACTGGATTCCCAAGTACCGCAGAGGCGATGCTGTGTCCTTCTCCGTGCCCCATATCAGGAGCCACAGCTTGTGCAGCCGCCCCATTCCCAGTCAGGTTCATTTGGGTCCCTTCGTTAAGGTGGCATCGGCCAGGTTTTTGCTGCTGTAAAATTCTTGTTGTTCTCTGTGTAATTGACAAATACCTTCTGGGAGACTCTCTGACACCATATAAATATCCCATTACCCTCCAAACTTTTACCCCGGAGTTTAGCATCCCCCGATGGTTCTTACCTGCATCAGTAATTACCATGATGCTGGTTTCATAATTCCATCATTCTCTCCACATTTATTAGCTGGTTTCCTATGGTAAGAAAGAAATTCTTCTTCCCCATTTATTTACACGAATTAGCATGGACTCCTGGACCCTCTTCCACGGCTGATGCTCCTTTGCTACTGTTACTTACCTTGGCGCTCACAATTTCCTAGCCTAGGCCAGTGGAAGTCCCTTCAGGGTGGCTCATGTGTCATCTTGACACGTCCTGATTATTCTCTTGGCGCTTTCTTAATTTCTGGCACAAAGTTCCAGGCTTATCTCGCACGTTCACTGCTTGAGCCCTAGGAAAAGCCATTTCTAAAAGGAATGGCAGTACCTTTTACTTTTAAATAATTTTGAAACGTCTCACGGTGAGCATGACACAGACCTGCTGAGCTGATTGGCAGTGGGTCCGGGCGAGTTCCCTGTGCTCAGAGGAGCATATGCGCAGATAGAGGTCTAGGCAAAGGTGTGCAGGTATCTGTCCTACTGCGTGCTGGTTTGCAATTGCGTGTCAATACTTAACATTCGTCTTAAAAAAGGAAAACATTAACTTCACAATATTTTTTCCTTTTTATAAAAGAAGTCACTTCTCATGAAAACTTTGGATACACACAAAAACGTATAGGTGTATATATGTAAACACATAATTTCTTCACATCTTTTTCTGTGTGTGTGTTTTTTTATATGCTTTAGTATGTTTGTGGTTCTATAAAAATCAGAATTATATTTGTATGTAAATAGAAGTCTAGAAGGCTGTTCACCAAATGTTGACAGTGTTCATGTCCAGTTTATAGGAGGGGGTAATCTCTATTTGTAAATTTCTTATCTAATCCCACTCTTCTTAGTCTTTTTTTTTCCTGTGGGGCACCTGGGTAACTCATTCGGTTGAACGTCCAACTCGATTTCGGCTCAGGTCGTGATCTCACGGTTCGTGAGTTCGAGCCCCACATCGGGCTCTGTGCTGACAGCTCGGAGCCTGGAGCCTGCTTCAGATTCCGTGTCTCCCTCTCTCTCTGCCCCTCCCTTGCTCATGCTCTGTCAGTCTCTCAAAAATAAACAAACATTAAAAAGGATTCCTCTCTCTCTCCCCGCCCCCCGACCAATCTCCCCTACTCATACTCTCTCTCTTCTGCCTAATTTTTTTCTTCAGTAAACTCATATTATCTTTGTAACCAAAAATGTA